AAATCAGGATTATACGCTAAATTCTGGATCTGCATGCTGATTCAGGTTCTTGTATGTGTCAAAGTTGACTTATCAACACAGGAGAAAAATGAGTATGTGTTTCTTCTCCACTATTTATAGTCATAGTCATCTGAGTTGCTTAACGTTTCTAAGAGTCTAACAGCGGTAAAGTTCAAGGGAAGAATTTGTTCCCAAATCCGGTTGTTAACAGCTTGTTCAAAACTTTAGCATTTTATCTTCGTAATTCTCGTTCGAAGACTGCGATAAGCAACAACTAGGGCGCTAACCTGTCTGCAACTTTCTTGATTTTTTTCTAAGCAGACTTTAGAGGGGGGACTAGTCGTTTCTTTTTTAGTGTTCTTTTTCTTCGCCAATTCGTTGCATTCAGAAGGCTGAGAAAACTGAGGGTAGGTATTACAATTTCGTTGCATACCATCCTCAATGTTGTAGTTAGAGACGTGCAGGGAGCCTTACTGGCTTACAATACCATGAAAGGCATCTGAAAAGATTCTCATGCATTAGATGAGTTTTTGGTCGTTCATTAATTTTGTAAAGTAGAGTTACTCTATAGTAATCCATTTCCAACATCCATTACCATAGAAAGAGAAAAAGGAATTGGGGAAAATGGAGGTCGAGGAGGCAGAAAAGACGATGGAAGAGTGAGAAAACGGTCGAGTGTTCCTATGTTCTGAGGTTGGGAGGAATTTTTTAGTTTCACTCTTAGAGTAACTTCGTGCTTGGCTATCAAAATTCAAAGTGAGAATGTGTGAAGCTGCTGTGTTGAGTATTACTCAAGTTTTACACCTAATGAAGACAGTTATTTGGGAGGAAAACCTTTTTTGAGGGTTTTTGGTATACACTTTTTTACTGTAATTTTATGTAGTCCTTGTGTTTTGTAATTTTTCTTGTGCATTTTATATGATGCCCTGTAAAAGACTGTACACTTTTTATACTGTTTCAAAAAGCCACTTCGAAATAAATTTAGTGAAGGATTGTGAAAAACATCTTAAGATCCTCATTACTCTTAAAAATTGTACACGTCAAACGGCTTCAAACGTCTGTATGTACCTCTCCATACCTACTTAATGAAGAGTATATAAGGATTCAGTGATTACTGAAGTGAAGCGATGTAATTGTTCTCTATCGCCTTTGCTAAAAGCGACTATTGAGTCATCAACAGCAACTTAAAGCACCTTGTTATATTTTGACAAAATAAACCTTATTTTCATCGGAAAACACTTGTGTTTGACTTTTGAGCTACTGTTGTTGTTGAATGAAATTTCTCCTTCCTCACAAAGATCTCCAACCAACCCAATTTTCCTGTCCTCCTATCTTACTTTGACATGTAAGCAAATTTCCTTTTCCTTCATCCGTTTTATGATTCGTCTCACTGTCCTGACCGAGTGCTGCTGTCTACAGTCCCGCACCATTGTCACCACTTCTCCTTCTTGCCTGTTTATAGTCTTGTGTTTAAAAAAGCTTGACTTAGGAGTAAAACACGTAAATATGTTAGCTGGTCAAGATCAATGGTTGAAGAGAATGATAACTTGTTACTTCTTTGTAGTCCACTGTAGCAGCCTGTATTTGGAGAAAAGCAGTTGTATTTTTTCACCTTTTTAGATCTTCCCATACTTTTTCCTCTCTAAAAATCTTTTTAAACTTCAGGAATTTTGGGAAGCTGGTAAGTCCAGTATTTTTAGATCAAAGTAAAATTTCTTTACCGCGGGTGAGTAACAAAAAAGTTATGTTTTTACTTGTCCAATATTTCTTTCATACTGAGCGCTTTGTCACACTCGTCCCCAGTGTTGTTCTCAATTCAGTAACTGACTAAAAATGTATCATTGTCTGTCCTTCTTCCTCTGTCAGCAGTTCGCACTTCACAACAGTTTCCTTTATTTCCCCAAAAATTGTTTTTTGTTGACAAATATCGTTTCTAAGTCATCAGTTTGAAATTCTCTTAATTAGAGATAAAACTTTTGTTTGTCATATATTTAGCACTGATATCCTCAGCAGTTTTTGGCCAGTTTTTTTGCAGGATTTAAACTACACTTATTTTGATGGTCCTGTCATGAAACTTTCTCATTTTTAGCGAAATCGGAAACTGAAACCAAGTTTCTAACCGATATTAATCGCTGAACAAGTCTCATACCGTTTACTGCTTTTAATGTTTTTCTGCTCAGACTTGCTAAATTCACGTAACATCAACTTTTCTGGTACCCCTCTACATTAAATTCATCACTATCTTAACAGTGGCCCGTGTTCAAGAACTACGGTAAATGCATTGTATTCTTTCTGCTGAAGTACCACAACAATTTTTACGATACCAGGATAAACATTTAATGTTCATTTAATTGAATAATAAATTTCTAAGTTTCAAAGCTTGTTTTCTGGACACTAAATCACTAGTGACTCGAAGAAAGATATTTTAAGATTAAATCCGACTTATTTGTCAACGCATGAAGTCAAAGAAGAAGGATTGTAAGGAATTTATAAATCTGCGTTCTCTGAAATTGTAAGATATTATGGGGCTCAAAAAAAAAAAAAAGAAAAAAAAAGTCAGCACGGTAGGTACTGGTTTACGGTCCTTCCATCGAGATCGAAAATGATGTTGTTGCTCGTTTCATTCTGTTCTTTGGAAATGTTAAACTTGAAATTTACTAAGTGGTGTTCAACAAGCACTTGATCAGTAGAACTCTGCCACCTTTGGAACTACCCCAAGAGTATCCACCCTTCGACAACTATTTGCACTACACTAAAATCACGCAGGAACGTCGGTAAACTGAAAGCAAACACTTCCACTAATCTTTCGCAGATTTATCAACCGACCCCCAAATCCAGGTTTTCGGTTGTGTTTTTCCCACTTTCTTTGCGAGACAAGCACAGAGCTTTTGTTGCGAAAATGATAGCAGCGGTCAGTGTCAAACTGGGTTGCATTACTGCTCGTACTCAGCATTTTACTTCGTAATATTGCTTAAACTTGAAGTACTCTTCCTTAACACAGAAAACACACAGCTTTTACAGCGATTAAAATGCGTTTTCTAAGAACTGTATTTTAATCTTGAAAATCTCTGTTGTATTGCTCATACGATCATAATCATGTGCCTACAATACATACCATTTCTGAGAGCTTTGAGAATATACACAATTCGTTCGAAATAAGAGCCAGTTTTCATGTGGAATTTACCTCTTTTTAACTATTTGTTCAGAGAAGTAAAAAATAATGAAATGCGACATTAAGACCTGCAACTTTTCTCTCAGAAATAATATTCTACAATTTTATAACTGATTCCGGTGTTTTTAATTTGGAAGCAATTGTATGAACAACGAAAAAGCGTATTCATACAACAGAAAAGAAATTCGCAGCATATAACTTTGGAAAGGAAAAAATTCTAAATTTTATAATTTTTTTCGCTGCTGTTATTGAGAGGTTTTTCAGTTTGGAAAATAATTTATGAATCTTAAACAATCAAAAAATTATAATTGATGACTCCAAATAACCTGTAAGTTTTCTATAACTGTATTATAAAACTGACTTGTACGCCTTGAATTAACCTCACCAAAGAGTTACAAAAAACGTTTTGGAAGTAGAGCCAACTAAAAACACTTGCACGTCAGTTTGTAAATGGCGAAAAAGCAATGAATAGAATGGTTAAAAATTAACTTAAATGTAATTTATTCCTTCATTGATCGGCAATTAGCTGTTAGCCAATAAAATTTTATGTGCTTCCTTGTACCGTTACAATTTCTTCTCCACTAAAACTTTAAAAAACTGGAATGGCGAAAAAGCAACTTTACAAAATAACAATTCACGTCAAAATTTGAAACACACAATGATCTTAGACTTATTATACAGAAAAATTTATTTGTCCGAAACACTGTATACCATGTGTAGTGTGGTAAACTGCTGAAATTACCATACAGCTAACTAATCAACTAATTATTTGCTCAAAAACCGTACTATTTTCAATCCAAAAGTATTCTTTTTTTTAATAAATAAATATTGCAACAAAATTTCTTCATCCTTTTGTAAAAAAAAAAAACCGCCAAACAGTTTTCATTGCTCTCCTCCCTTGGAGGAGAGGGGAATGTCCACGCAAAAAATTGCAAATAAATGTACTTACAGACAAGTAATTGCAAAACAAACAATAGCTGGTTTCGGTTACGCGTCTGCGAGATCAGTAGACTGAGGCTTGATACTGCTCAAGTTCATGAAAACTACGACTCAGTAATTTCACTGCTGAACTTTTCTAGGCTACTTTTTTTTTAAAGCACTTACTAAAGCTGACACCGCTACCTCGGATTTACAGCAGCTTTGCCATTGAGCTGTGTGTAAAACACTTGAATATTTCTGACCACTCTGATCCAAAACACAGTAAGCCCTTTCTTAACAAACCATTCTAAGCCCCACTAAAAGAAAGCATACTTTATATTTACTTTTGCCGAGAACCTGTGATGTGCATCACGCAATGCTCTTACCCTAACCTTTTTCTTCAGAAAGTTTGCACTGATGGTTTCATGCTTAATATCGAACGCATATCAAATAAATCTAGTACTAGCTATTCTGGTCAGAATCAAAATAATAAACCTTTTTTTTTTATCAGAAAAAAATATACAGTGGATTGTTGTTGCTACTTTTCTTATTGCTGGGTAAACACCTGACATTTCCGCATATAACCATCAATGTAGCTTTCCTGCAGAAAAAATTGAATAAAAGTATAACACACTGATTTAGCTACACTACCAACCACAAATAAAAAAAGCAGTTTTTTCTAAAAGAATCCCCCTGCAGTTCCTCAAAGAGAAAGCCCACCAAACTTTTTAAAGACTAGAGACCCCAAATAGAAATTAAACAATTTATATCACTCAATGAAACGCTTACTGTAGATGAATAAGAGCAAAGATAAACACTTACACAGGAGGTATCAGTTTTATCAAGCCTTTTGGCTTGAGAAAATATTTAGAACATTTAAAACAATTAAAACCAATAAAGTGCAAGTTTCGTTAACTAGAACAAGATCAGACCTTATTCTGCTAGTCCCGTAGACTTATTAACAAAGTTAACTACTATTTATTTTACAATTATTAATCTATAAGTTAGATGGTTCTCAAGAAATCTAATACAATGAATGTTTGGTGCAAAAATTCACTAAAAAAAATTATGCATTACAGTTCAATTATTAATACGGCCGTGAAGGAATCTGCGGTCTGTCCGGTATCCTCGGAGGCATACCATTTTGATTCACTCTCCTGAAAAAAAATTCTTTTACACTACACTAAACTGAGTACCGTTTTTACATGCTTCTTGCAACAAAACTGAATCATGCACTACAAAGAGGCTTTAACTAAATAATTCAAAGGCAAAAGCGGCCTTCCTCAATGAGAAAAACAGAAAATTTTCAGTTAGAAACACTGTGACGAATTTTCCCATTCAAAGTGCTTTCAATGCCCTGTTTATCTGTCTTTCAGAAAATCTACAACAGAAAATGAAAAGCTCAATATGCAAACTTAAAATCCGAAAAAGTAAAAAAGACAATTTCAATCCTTTCACTTGGCCTCTCAATGTCTACATAGGCAGACATAGAAAAAAAATTGTAATTCACAGCGACAACGACCAAACCACAAGCATCACTTTGAATCCATAACCACAAACAGGAATATATTGCGAATAAAAAAGTACCCTTACCAGTTATCAGCATCACTTGGGGCGCCTGTTTTTTAGAAGTAAAAATGAACTTATTCAAGCAAAGAAGAAGTAAAATAAAAAACGAATCATAATTTAAATACCAACCTTTCAATTTCAATAGTCTTAGTAACAACAGTCTCTTATGCTTATAATTAGATACTTTTAAAATTTTAGAATTACGTTGGTAGCAGAGGTGCGGGAAGACCCGGTGCAGTTGGTAGTGGCCGGTTAGCAAACGATGGGGCACTCTGGTTAGCGGAACGTGGAGGCATTGGAGCAGGACGCTGTCCTGTAGGAGGCTGTGGTGCTGGCCGGGGTACTGGCGACGGACCATTCGACCTGCAACCAAAGAATTTTTATTTTTCAGATCGCTTCAACCAACAAGGTAAAGAGGCCGGTACCTCATCCAGTCGGTGCTGACAGCGGGTGGTGCTTCAGTGGCAACAGTAGTCATATTAACTTCCCCAATAATCCTCAACGCTTCTTTACAAGCGTGATACATCCGTAACATTTCTTCTCTTTTCTGTGCTTCAAGCTGACTTTCCTCCATCAAAGACTCCTTAAAAGAATTATGAGGTAAATGAGTACAGAAAATATGAGACCTCCAAAAACCAATACGCCTCATAATTGAAAACAATACCGTATCTCCAATCTGATATAAGGAAGCCAAAAGTTCTCCATCGCGCAAGAAGCTACTGACCTTAAAACAACCTTATTTAATCTTGTTCGGCGCAAAAAACGTAATAAAATCAGACCACGTTTTCAAATTTTAAACCTTTGTTTTAGAAAAATAAGGGTTTTAGAGAACTCAATTATTGGTGCCCAGGACAATTCCCAACTGAAAATGAAAGCACCTTGTTGACTATTAAAAACATAATAGCCTTTGGGACAAGATCCCGGATCGTTTTTGTAACGATTCGCATATAAGAGTCAACAAGATTTCTGATGGTTTCCACCTGGCGCTCCAACTGAGGATCAAGAGATGTCTCTTCTTCAGTCCTTCCATTCTACAAATGTCCGAGTTTTAGATGATCAGCTATCGTATTCTGCACAGAAACTTGAAAAAAAAACCAAATTATAGAGAAATAATTACCTCAACTTCTTCAGTTGGTTTCTCCTTTTCTGGGTAAACGCCAGCACGTAAAAATGAAGCCTTCCAAGCGTCAACCTCATCCAAGTTACTCGCACTTAATTCTAACTGTTTGTAGTCTTTATAGATATTCCTAAAAGATCAAGCTGATAATGCCATTCTGACCAAAAAATCCTGCCAAAGAAAGAGCAAGTGCAAACATAATACGAAAAAATCCATGCTTTAAAATTAAAAGGGAAGCAAAACAAAGGACTAAACTCTAAAACCTCAGTCTCGTGAATCCCTCTTCTCTCGGATGAATTTTTTAAAAGCAAACAGTCCTACAGTAAAACCAAAACAAATAAGAAACTGTAAAAAACAAAGAAAGAAAGTGATTATATTACCTTTACTCTACAGACTAAATAAAAATCACATCACAAAAAGTTAAAAGTATAAATACTAGGATGACCAAAATGAAATATCTTATTTCTCCTTCTTAAGATAAGAAAACAATGCCTTTCTTAACTTATGGAGAAACTGAAACTGGTTCTACACCAATGAACCATGTAACTTAGTGTAAAGGTGTTAAATGAGTTTTCCAAAATGCCTAAATGCTTGAAACAGAAGACCTAGCGCAGTTTCAAGTAATTAATATTACTTTTCTTTCCATTCTGCAAGAAATAGTAGGGCTCTGTAAAATAGAAAGTATGAAGTCACGGCTCAAGTTCAAATTCAATAGTTCTGAAGTGAAGGTCCAACTTGAAAAGTAGTTTCACAAAACATATTCCCTGCAGCAAACAAATGCGAATCATGAACAAAAAACTATCTAATTAACATAGAAATACCACTTAAAGAGGCACGCAGCAAAATCATGCCTCTTAATTACAAAACATTTAAACAAGATAAGCTCTTCAAATCCTAAAGGATTGAATAAATATTTAAAGCATGAAATTCTGTGTCCGCCTCCAGAAAAAAGAGTGAAGTTTTTTCGACAAATTTTCTAGCAAATGAAGGTGACTATGTAGTCTTTTCCTTACCTCAACAAAAAAAGCTCATTTTTCTAGAACGGAAAGAAGATGGTACAACCTTAAAATGACCTTAAAATGATGGGCAGTTTACAGTAGTAAAAAAGTCGTGATAACAATGTTTTGAAAGTTGAAAGTATCGCACTGGTAAATTACCTCTCGTGAAACTAATCAGTTATCACTAAATACCACCTAGTACCTAACTAATTAAAACTGGATAATAAGAATTCTGAAAAACATGCATTCTAGAGTTTCACAGTCGATCGAATTCCCAGAATAACAATAGTCGACCACGTATGCCTAGTCCAATATTGAAAGTTCTATCACAATGGAAACCTAAGATTTCCTTCTTACCTCAAATGACGTCCATCACCTACTAAGACAAAAAAATTTCTTAATGAAATTCATCTTGCTTCGCCGGACATAATAGACAGCTGGACCACTGCTGTTCCAGAAACACCTTTCTACAAGTCAGATTCCTAAACAACGAGTTGCACTCAGTAGCAATCATTCTCAAAACTTCCTCTGAATTCTGAAAGGATGGGAAGATAGCTACAAGTCCCAATCACCTCACATACATAAATGCAAACATAAATTCCTTTCTGACATTATATGTAGAAAACAAGTGAGGAAAAACGACAAAAAAAATTGACACCATCCACAGCTATGACAAAATGCTAAGGGTTTACTCATATACTTAGCATGCAATGCGAACTTGGTTCACCATTCTCGGGAACTAATTGTGGTTCACGACAACGTCCACAAAAATAAAAAAAAAAACATACGATTACTTTCGAATGTTATCAGTATCCTTACTTTCTGTAAAAAAGAAACTTTAAAAATTGTAATTATGAAGGTATAAACTGTCTGAAAGTAATTTGCTCTAAAATACCCAGAAAAAGCTCAACAGCAACAAAGAAGAAAAGAATGGCAGCAGAAGAATATATAGAGATATAAACGTAGAAGGCTCCTCAGTATTGAAATATAGTCGTTGACAGGTCTGCGACAAAGGCGCAACAGCAGCACTTTAAAAAACGTATGCGACAGTTGAAAAGCTGCATTAAAAAAAGAGAGAGCTGAAGTCAAAAAAAAGTAAATCTGGTTTTTACGAAACTAACTTCCTAGTAAAGTACGGCATTCACGCTTAGTTCAAATAGTATACTTTCACAAAGAAGTAAGGAAAGAAAGACGAGAGTTCTCAAAAGAGATAAACGAAAACCCTTGTGTAAAAAGCAAGCGAAAAAGCAATAAAACGCATAATGGTGTCACTTTTCAAAGCCTACAGGAAGACAAGAAGTGAGTAACTAACAAATGCTAAGCATTAGAAATTCAAGCTCTGAAAACGACTTAACACGCCAGTCGTTTGTCGTATGCCTTCCAAGAAATGATATTCAAAGGTTCTTACGTGCTGAAATAAAACCCAAAAGATCACGCGTTTTAAGAATAAAAAAGTAGTAAGAAACAAAAAGTATAACAATAAATGATGTGTCAAATTAAAAGTCATTAAAACAAGTGCAGAATTAAAGACAAGCTTGCATATGCTTTAGACAAAAAAACAACAGTATCTGGTAACTTTAAATGCTGTACTTTACCAATGAAACTTATTTAAGTCGCAGAATTAGCAACTAAAAGCTAGAAAGATTGAACAGATGCAGCAGCAGTCTATCTTTTAATATTCCATGAGAACACTAAACATTCAAAAATAATACATGTCCATAAAAAAATTCAAGACTTAAAGTAATAATTAAATTAGTATTACTTTCCATCCGGATAGAAGAGGGCAAACTTGTGCTGCCGTGACATAAATCCAGCCTCGAGATCGCGCAGCATAATACCATCTAATGGTAACATATACTTCTTTTCTTTCTCCTGCACAATAAATTCAAAAAACTTTTATCGGCCTCGGATTAAGAAAGATATTTTATTGCAGAGACTCACCTCATCGTCTTTGTACCATGAAAGGTTGTCAGATGTCAGGACAAACCAACAATCTTTTGATCCTCGAACAAATGAAATATTGTGGACAGAAAGCCAGCCTTTTCTGATTACTTGGTTCCCAAGATTCTTTTTGGTTTGAGCAGATGATGCTTTGGCTTCCGCACTGAAAAAGTCACATATTGGTTCTACAGAATTTCAAGTACCCGATATAAGTTTAAAAAACAAGAATCCAATGGCAGAAAAAAAAAGAAAAAAGAAAAATACTTAGAAAATCCGATAAAATCTTCATGGTTAGTATTCATGTACGCCAATTCGTAATCAACAATCATCGATATTTGCTGTTTGGCAATTTGCTCCTTCTCCCTCATATTTGTAGTCACGATCCTTTCAATTTCGTCCCTTAATCGTGGATACCGAGCCACCTAAAAGCGGTTCTAGAAGCTGACCATATGTGCTCCAAAACTGCTATAATAAAGATGAACTAACGCATTCTGTGCACTGGCGAACAACATTAGCAAGTTCATTAACCACGAGATCGACACATTTTAATGAAGGTTCTTTCAAACGTTCTATCTGCTTCTTCACTATAGCTTCAAAAGCCATATCTGGCGTAAAAAGCCCTACTCGGATACCTCGAATATTTCTTATTGCTATATGTATTTCCCGACGCATTTCCTTAAACAGGTTCACAGAATACAGTGAGGTTTCTACTACTGTTCTGTAGGTTACACTCTCAGCATATCAGGTACCTTTTCATCAATTTCCATCTTCACGATTTCAAACGGAAATCTTTCATGAAACAGTCGGTTAATTCGTGCACCACCAGAGAGCTCATTTGTGCTAACAGTTTTCGCTGAAGAGCCCTCAATAGAACGCTCAATATCAACAGTAAACTGCTGAACCATCCTAAATCATCTGAAGTTAACTATTTGGTTGAAAGAAGAACCTTAAAAA